TATGAGGTACAGTAATACAGGTGGATGGTAGTGAGTGTTATGAGGTACAGTAATAAAGGTGGATGGTAGTGAGTGTTATGAGGTACAGTAATAAAGGTGGATGGTACAGTACAATATTATGAGGAAGTCTTACTGGTCTTGAGAGAGAGATGAAGGGGACTTGATAAACGCTGTGTGTTAGTTGTGGGACGTGATGTGTGTCAACACAACAAAATGTTTTACACTAGTGGACGGGATATGTTATACACCTGGTGATAATGTCAAGTTGTCAGTATAAATCATGGTAACGTTTGTGTGTATGACGCTGACTCGGTGTGTCCATCACGCCGGTGTGTGATGTGTGTCATGCATCACACAACTCCTGTATTTCAATATCCACCATATTTATGTACAATGTTCATGATAGAAATAATAACATTACTTCTTAACAAACTTTAACACCGGTTTAAGTATTATAACATATATTTTATAATAAATAAGGTGTAATATTTATTTCCTAAAACATAAAAGAACATTCAATTAAAGTAGTGGAGTTTTAGGAAACATTTTACTACTGAAAGCTTTTACCTTTTCCTGCACAGTTGTCGACCATTTTAACTCAATGTTGCCTGTGTGGTGCTGGCGAGTGAGGGGCGTCCTAGCGAGGCTTCCTCATGCAGTTGTAATGTGTTCTTATTTTTTACTGCTGTTATTTGACTCACCAGCAGCGGAACACCAGGGTAAAAATATAACTGGTGGAGAATATAAGACTGGGAGGCAGTGTACAGTCGAGTTTTGTGGTACAGTTATAAAGACTGTCAGAAAATACTTGGTGGTGTTGTCAGGTAAAAGAGACTGGGTGACTGTTAAGAGACTGGATGAGTGATCACAGTGAGGGGGGGAGGGAGTGAGCAACACACACACACACACACACACACACACACACACACACACACACACACAGCCACTGTACTAAGGGCGTATGGCTCTTGTTATCATTGTTGTGTGTACGAGAAATATAAACCATAGGATGTATGTAGACATTAGAGTGTGTTGGTGACTTGTTAGGAGAGAACACCACAAACACTATAGACTAGAGAGAGAGAGAGAGAGAGAGAGAGAGAGAGAGAGAGAGAGAGAGAGAGAATGTTTACTACAAGTGTGTGTGTGTGTGGTGATGACTCCTAACATTTGACTGTGTATGGTGGCTGATGTGTGATGCTTGATCAATAAGACCTGATATTGTTTTATTATTGTTTGTGTACAGTATAACAACTCTTATATTTGTTACCCTCTCACATTATCTCATTATCTCTCTTTTACTCTCTCACATTCTCATATTCTCATTATCTTTCGTGATTAAAATTTCTTTATGTCCATTTACAGTATGTTATATATTAATGAAATATTTCCAAACCTCTTAAGAATTAATCCTATCACTCCTCTCTCCTTTTCATCCACTTCCTCTTACCCCTCCTCACCCTCCCTCTCCCCTTCTCCTCACCCTCCCCCTCCTCCACACCCTCCCTCTCCCCCATACCATCCCTCTTTCCCTCACTTTCCCTCCTCACCCTCACCCTTTCCCTTTCCCCAAATCAGAATATAATAATAAGAATATAATAAGAATATAACCATAATAAAAGGTAAACATAATGTAAATGCTGATACAGTGTCATGATGGACCACAACCTATAGAGCGACAAAAGGCAACAACTACAGGACGAGAAGGTAACAGAGGCGTCGTCCTTGGTGGCCGTCTGATCACCTTCACCTTTGACCAAGAATTTTACCTGAAGTTATTAGTTGGTTAATTAAGTAGTCGCTGCCAGCAGGTGCATAAAGATTTTAAAGTGGGGCGAAGAGAGAGAGAGAGAGAGAGAGAGAGAGAGAGAGAGAGAGAGAGAGATGTATTAATTATTAAAGAAGTGTGTATTAATGTTTCACTAAAATTTATAATACCCAATACACATAACAACACCTACAACTCTTTACTAAACACACACACATCACAACAAATAACCCTCAATAACTCATTAATAACTCATCAATAACTCATCAATAACTCATCAATAACTCCACAGCTTCAGAGTCTCTACAAAAGTCAATCAATTACCCTAAAACAACTCTTAATAATAAAGACAAAAATAATCTCAACCTCGCTTTAATTTTCTTCGTAATTTACTGCAGTGTTACGAGGCCATAATTTCTTACCCAGGCTGAACCGTTTCCTAAGATTATTGCTCTGTTGTTTTACGTCTGAAGGTAAGTGTTAATTATCGCTACATAATATTTCTATGTTATATCATGAACCTCCAAAGTGTTAAACATTGTTATATTACAACTTCTAAAACTTTTCCTATAATGTTGTTGTTTTTATATAGTGTGGAAAGATGGATTATAGAGAAAAAAATGAGAGAAAATAATCATTAATTAAACAATAAAGTCATGAAATTACGTAGAATGACAACTCTTACACCTTCAGTAATGACCTTTATTTGACCTGACCTGACCTTACCTTAGAAAACCATCCTGGGTCACCTGTCAAATCCATCGCCTTTATGTTGTGGTTAATTAGGACATATAACTTTGGCAGAGTTATAAATATGAATTTTACTGAGCGGACTGTTGAAATTACACACACACACACACACACACACACACACACACACACACACACACACACACACACACACACACACACACACACACACACACACACACTCTCTCTCTCTCTCTCTTCATATATCGATTATCTACTTCTCAGATTCTTATTATCATTTATTCATTTATTTGTGTCTATGTTATCAGAGTCTTGGCTGCCTCTCTTACCTTTATCACCTTCTTTATATATCCGTTTTCTTTCCTCTCCATTAGAGCTCTTCCTCTCTCTCTCTTTCTCTCTTCCTCTCTCTCTCTCTCCATATTTTATTGACATGTCTTCCTTCCTCCCTTCTTTGCTTCCTTGCTTCTGTCTCCTTTTCGTTAAGGATTAGTATTTTCTTTTATCTTATCTTATTGCTTCCTTATTATCATTATTCTCTTCCTTATGTCTTCTCACTACCATCATCACTCACTCTCTCTCTCCCTCTCTCTCTTTTTATCTTATCATCCATGTGTACTTAATATTTTATTGTGGAATGTTCATTTCTTTTTGGGGAATGTTCACTTATATTAAGTCATGATCACTTCACCTGGGTCATGTTTGGAGCACAGGTCATATTGTTTGACCTTCGTGGTGATAACAATGTCATCCACTATTCTGCTCCCATATTGAACACTACCTACCGGATATATCAACGCTATTTTAATGAAAAATAAAAAATAAATAAATTAAATATTGTTCGGCAACACAACAGTCTGTCTCATTGGTGGTTGGCTGAAACTAAGACTTAATAGGATTAAAAACTTGCATTGTGGGTAATTGTGTTTTTTAATTGCCATGAGTGAAATATTCAACGATTTTATTTAATGCTTCCCCGGCCATTGAGAGAGAGAGAGAGAGAGAGAGAGAGAGAGAGAGAGAGAGTATAAGAACATAAGAACATAAGAAAGTAAGTAGTCTGCAATAGGCCGGTTGGCCTGTGCATGGCAGCTCCTGTCAAGAGTTACTACCACTCTCTATCATCCATGAATCTATCTAGCCTCCTTTTGAAACTTTCCAGAGTTCCCGCACTTACTACAAAGTTGCTAAGCTTGTTCCACTCGTCCACCACCCTATTTGTGAACCAGTTCCTTCCTATCTCCCTCCTAAACCTAAACTTATCCAACTTAAATCCGTTTCTCCGAGTCCTATCCTGCTCTGATATTATAAGAACTTTATCTATATCCCCTTTATTGATTCCTTTCACCCACTTAAATACTTCTATCATATCTCCCCGCACTCTTCGTCTTTCTAGGGAATGCAAGTTTAGTTTCTTTAACCTCACAGGAGATAAAACCAACAACACATGGAAACAGGACAATAAATACACTACCTTAAGACAAAATCACCCACCTCACCATTAAGGTTGAGAACTGTGAGGTGTGCTACTCAAGACTATACAAGAGGATCATATGCGTGTAGGACATATTATATAACCAGGTAACAAACAGGTAGAGTAACACCTGTGTAATATAGCCACACCTGGAGACTCAGATCACACACCTGTTGTAAAGAACATTCTCTACACCTGTCCTTTTCTTCCCAGATGAACACAGCAACACGAGGAAGATCAATCACCAGGAGAAAGTCACAATAAAACACAAATCCAGGTTAGGTTAGGTTAGTATTTGGCCAGTTTAATATTTAAACAACTCTTACATGGTTTTGGGAAAACAGTTATCATGTTTACATCTCATAGCATAATCCTGTATGGTAATATGTTTACTCTGGCGTCTCTTTATGACTTAAGAAAGTACACTGTTTATATGTCAATCTCCTGTGAAAACATTTACTAACACGCATCATAACTTTGGTCAGGATGGATGACAGACGCACACAAGTTAATGACAGTTTTATTGAACTATACGAAGTAAAAATAATCACTGGCAATCTCAAAGTCCATTGTAACATTTTCCTATAATTAAGAAAGTTTTGCTAATATTTGCTGTACACTTCTGGCCCTTTGTTTACTTCATACAAGTGGATAATATTTGTGTCTGTATTGTTTGATGAGATGAATCCTCTGAGGGCAGATGGAAGGGTATCTCACACATAGGAGGGGTGAGAGAGAGACTGAGTGTGTGTGTGAGGTGTGTGTGTGTGGGTGTGAGGTGTGTGCGTGTGAGGTGTGTGTGTGTGTGTGGGTGTGAGGTGTGTGTGTGTGTGCGTGTGAGTGTGTGTGTGTGTGTGAGGTGTGTGTGTGTGGGTGTGAGGTGTGTGCGTGTGAGGTGTGTGTGTGTGTGTGGGTGTGAGGTGTGTGTGTGTGTGCGTGTGAGGTGTGTGTGTGTGTGCGTGTGTGTGTGAGGGGTCAAGTCCTCCGGGGTGTAGTGTGAAGATGTAAGTCCAAAAAAAATTGTGACAGTGTACAACAGTCAGGTCCAACCCTCAGACACAGGTACAACAGTCAGGTCCAGCCCTCAGACATAGGTACAACAACAGTCAGGTCCAGCCCTCAGACACAGGTACAGCAGTCAGGTCCAGCCCACCTCGACACAGGTACAACAGTCAGGTCAGCCCTCAGACACCGGTACAACAGTCAGGTCCAGCCCTCAGACACAGGTACAACAGTCAGTCAGCCCTCAGGTAGCAGTCAGGTCCCCTCAACACCGGTACAACAGTCAGGTCCAGCCCTGTACAGGTACAAGTCAGGTCCATCCACTCAGACACAGGTACAACAGTCGACAGCCCTCAGATGGGTACAACAGTCAGGTCCAACCCTCAGACACAGGTACAACAGTCAGGTCCAGCCCTCAGATACAGGTACAGGCAGTCAGGTCAGACACCCAGTCAGGCCTCAGACACAGGTACAACAGTCAGGTCCAGCCCTCAGACACAGGTACAACAGCCTCAGAGCCACAGGTACAGCCAACCCTCAGACACAGGTACAACAGTCAGGTCAACCCTCAGACACAGGTACAACAGTCAGGTCAACCCTCAGACACACAGGTACAACAGTCAGGTCCAGACCCTCAGACACAGGTACAACAGTCAGGTCCGACCCTCCAGACACTGTACAACAGTCAGGTCCAACCCTCAGACACAGGTACAACAGTCAGGTCCAACCCTCAGACACAGGTACAACAGTCAGGTCCAACCCTCAGACACAGGTACAACAGTCAGGTCCGACCCTCAGACACAGGTACAACAGTCAGGTCCGACCCTCAGACACTGGTACAACAGTCAGGTCCGACCCTCAGACACAGGTACAACAGTCAGGTCCAGCCCTCAGACACAGGTACAACAGTCAGGTCCGACCCTCTCATACAGCTGTTTTCCTCCTGCCGTCTATTGTATTATTCATCATCCTCCTCCTCCACTTCCCTGCCACTTCCATCTCCTTTCTCATCTGGTTAACTCTTTCTCTTTCCTTTTTTGTCATTTTATCTATCGGTAACATTCTCTCTCTCTCTCTCTCTCTCTCTCTCTCTCTCTCTCTCTCTCTCTCTCAAAGTCTTCTCCATCATCGTTAATTTCTTGTTGTCAGTTTTGTCCACTTTCTTCCTGATCTAAATAATGGCTTTCTCTTTCCAAATTATTTTCCTTGTCATTGAGCTGTATTTTGCTTTCTATTTGAGAGAGAGAGAGAGAGAGAGAGAGAGAGAGAGAGAGAGAGAGAGAGAGAGAGATCCATGACCAGTGTTAAGTTACTCTCCTGTGTTCCTCTCCCACTCATAAAATGCACCAATCAATATGTATCTATATATAGTAATACAACAGAGAGAATCAGCTACAGAAGAAGGTGTACCAACATTATAGTACGGATAGAATTTAGTTTTTGTGAAAATTTTTAATGTATTGTTTCACACTCTAGGACTACTACTACTACTACTACTACTACTACTACTTCTACTAATACTATTACTACTACTATCTGTTTGTGTTTTATTGTATCACACAGAGAGAGGGAGAGAATAATTACACACCTAAGATAATTGAGAAGCAGGTAAACAGAGATTTGTATCGCAATAGTTTCCTTCAGAGCAACGAGTAATTATGTTCCTTGGTAAGTATCACCAATTTACGTTAGAACTGTTACTAGATTTTACATTGTTACTACTGTCGCGATTTGTGCGTTACTTCCCAGACTTTACCTGTGTCTCTTACTCTCTGCTCCCTGCCATCATCCTTCACCTTTCTCTTTCTCCCCTTCCATCCTCCTCCACCTCCCCCTCTCTCTCCCCTTCCATCACCCTCCACCTCCCCCTCTCTCTCCCCTTCCATCCTCCTCCACCTCCCCCTCTCTCTCCCCTTCCATCACCCTCCACCTCCCCCTCTCTCTCTCTGGGCGTTGGTGATTTTTTTCATTTATTGTTTGTGCTGAAGATTTGATGATTTCTTGGTTTACTCTTTTTATCGGAGTTGGTATGTCGGAGAGAAGATGCTGGCGTGAGCATCTTTGATCATCGCCTGGGCTGTGTTCGGACCCAGAGGTGTGACTAGGTGGGGTCTCCCTCCCTGCCCAAGCAGTCAACACTATTTGGAAATTCAGGCAGGATTTTGTGGACCAAATAAACGGGCGTGAGGTTGGAGGTGCCTGATGTCATGTTCCTGTAGAGGTTCGTTGAGGGCGTAGGTGTCGTGGTGGCTGTGAGAGGAGACAAACTCTAGAGATACGAGGTGTAGTGTCATTGGTTAATAGCGTCATCGACCGGCAAGCTCCGGCGGGGGATCAATGAATGTTTATATTTATCTAGAATGCCTCGTCCCCTCTTGGTAGTCATAGTACAAATACCGTCCATCCAGAGCCCCGTAGACAGCTAACATGTGCGGGACGAAATACGACAACCGTCACGTTGTCTCGCATCACAGTGTGTGGGGTAAACATCTCCTATTTACCCCTCACTCTAGAGTGTGGAACGTGAGCCAGGAGTCAGCTGGTGCCTTTAAGGAGTACACGAAATTTTCCAAAGTCAAATACCAGAAATTCGCCATCTTGACTTTGGTCACCGGGCACCGACATCTTCAGGGGCTAAACTTATGAGATAATGGTCGCCAAATATAATGAAGTTGAAGCCCCCAGTTGTAAGGAGTCTCACTTAACTGTATATATTATGTGTAATGCCAACGCCACATTGCCTTTCTGTTTTTGTTTTTTTAGTAGAGAATCAAGTGTTTGTCTGCATTAACGATGATTGTACTGGCAACTAATATCATCATGGCGAGGCTGTGGGGTGGCCACATTACCAGTGAGGAGCTGTGAGGTGACCACATCACCAGGGTGAGGCTGGGTAATGGCCACATCACCAGGGAGAGACTCCAGGGTGGTGGCCACATCACCAGGGCGAGGCTAGGTAATGGCCACATCACCAGGGAGAGGCTCCAGGGTGGTGGCCACATCACCAGGGCGAGGCTAGGTAATGGCCACATCACCAGGGAGAGGCTCCAGGGTGGTGGCCACATCACCAGGGCGAGGCTAGGTAATGGCCACATCACCAGGGAGAGGCTCCAGGGTGGTGGCCACATCACCAGGGCGAGGCTAGGTAATGGCCACATCACCAGGGAGAGGCTCCAGGGTGGTGGCCACATCACCAGGTCACGATAAGTTTCATCTGAACTCCAACATCAGGAGTTAAGTCGTGCTTGGCCACACTCAATGGTACGACCAAAAGCCTAAGTGTCAGGTCAAACTTGGTCATTTTTTAACCACTAAACTCCAAGAGTCACGTCGGACTATCATGCTCAAGTAGTCAGGTCAAGGTAGGTCACGTTCTTGGTATAAAAAAACATTAGATTATCCTTTGATGTCACGTCTTGTTTAAGCCCTCGTCACAAACTTTATTGTTTATTATTATGGACGTTTTTATTCTCCCCTTCATACACACGTTCGTAGACAACCTCTCCTCATGTTTTTTGGGGGCCTCTATATTTAACCTTCTGAGTCATGGAAGATTAAGTCATCGTCTGTAATGAGTTAAAAAATCGTCATCTATAGAATTATACCATCATCCACAAAGGGTTAAACCACCATCGTCAAAGGGTTACATCACCATCGTCAAAGGGTTAAACCACCATCGTTAAAGGGTAAAACCACCATCGTCAAAAGATTAAACCATCGTCGTCAAAGGGTTAAACCACCTGTGGTGTGGTGGATGTAATCCTAGACAAGGTTCTTGAAACTCCAGGGCACGAGCAGTAGATATATTCAATAAGTGTACAAGACTGGGCGTGATAGCCAACCGATACAGGAGCGATTACTAGGGACCCCGGACCGTAGGTAGGCCGAGGCCGATCTGAGGGAAATTAGCTAGCCAGGCAAGGGGAGTTGCTAGACATTCCTAGGACAATAAATGAGGTCTTCTAATTACTCGACTAGCGCGGTACAGACATAGTACATCGGGACATAGTAAATGAACATAGGCATTAGACATAAGCATGGACATCAGACATGCTATAATAATATGTAGTAATACAGACATGCGAATAAATGGTACAACGAATGGTAACAAGAGTCCTGGTGTCAGGCGCGTTCACACATCTTGGTATGTACATATCTATACACCTCCCTCCCCCTTTACGCTCGTAGTGCAATCTCGAGCGGCTACGGACTCTTTTTCCATGAGTCGGGGGGAGCGGCGAGGGACAATGGGAGGATCAACTGACGACCTTCGTTCCTGGTCTGGGCAAGGGGACACAGGGGACGGGGAGGAAGGTTCGTCACTAGAGGGTGGCACTGGGCGGAGGTGGCGTCTGTTTCGCCACCACACACGACCACTGGGGAGGCGGACTTGGTACGAACGAGACTCGCCACGGCCCATGACGACCCCGACCTTGTCCCAGCGGTGTGACGTCGGGTCCTGGATTCGTACTTGCTGGCCGACGGCCAACCTGGGAAGGGGGCGGGCTTGGGCGTCATAGTGGCTTGTCACTTGGGCCATCCGGGCAGCCTCACGGCGGTCACACTCGTCCGCCTTGATCTGCCATTCATCTAAGAAGGACTGGGGGTGGGCAGGCACACAAGTACGAAGGGGGCGGCCATACAACACCTGGGCAGGAGAGCGTCCGGCAGGGGTAGGGGTGTTACGGAGTTCCAGTAGGCCCCTGTCGAACTCCTCGCAGTCCAGGTTCCCCGTCGGTGCTGTCTTGAGGATGAGGTATTTTACGGACTTTACCGCTGCCTCGGCGTGGCCATTCGCCTGCGGGTAATGAGGGGAGGTGACGATGTGGTGGACGCCCCAGCGTTCGGCGAAGCTCTTGAACTCGTGGCTATTGAACGGGGGCCCACCGTCGGTTCGGAGGCGGAGAGGCACTCCGACTTCCCGGAAGAAGCAACAAAACATCCGGATGACCCTGGAAGAGGTGGTGTCCCGACCACAGGGAACTACCACGGGCCATCCAGAGAGCCTGTCGGCGACCACCAGGAAAGACTTTCCGGCCACATTAAAGAAGTCGGCGGACACGGACTCAAAGGGCCGCTTTGGGAGGTCATTGCACAGGTACGGCTCTTGTTGCTGGCTGGGCTGGAGTTGCTGGCAAGGCTCACAGGCCTCAACCGTGCTCTTAATATCGGCGTCAATACCAGGCCAGAAGACGGTCTGACGGGCTCTGCGCCTGGTGGCTTCAACGCCGCGGTGGCTGTCATGGAGGCGGGATAAGGTGCGCCGGCGGAGGGCAGCGGGAACGACGATCCTGGGGCCGTACAACACCAGCTCTCCGTCCGCATAGAGGCTATCCCTTAGCTTCCAGAAGGGGAGGGCGGAGGCGTGAATGTCGTAGCGGTTGGTGGGGAATCCAGCGGAGACGTAGTCGAGGAGTTGGACGTATGCCGGGTCTTGAGCGGCGGCGATGCGAAGCTCCTGGAGAGTCCTATCGTCTTCGATGGAGGGCGTCGTCGTCGTCTTGTCAGCA